GTGAGATAGGTAGACACGAGAGTGGCGGGAGGCCGAACAACACGCACGCAGAAATTAAACAAACGGGAAGAAAGGGGAAACGCGATAAAAGCGGAGAGTGGGGAGGGAGGACAGGCAGACCGAACATGAGGAAGTCCGGAAACGAAGTGGGGCAAAGAAAAGGAAGACATAAAATACAAAGCTGAGCATGAAAAGACAAGGAAATATACAGGGCGGCACGGGGCCCAAGAACAACAGCGCGCCGGCGTGATACATCGTGGCCATGTCTCACGAAGGCCGCCTTTGAAGTTGCCGCCGGCGGAAGTCATGACGTGCCCCGGGGCTGCCCCGCCCCTGACGGACAATCACATTTCAGACCGGAACCGTGCATGCATACGTACCTGCACGGGAGGCGTGCCACCTGACTCCTCCTAATGCATGCATGCTTGCACGCTTTGCCGCATGACTGGCGAAGAAAGAAGCGTAGCATCCAGGACATTGCTAATTTACATTTAATCAGTGACTAGAGGAAGTGACTTGTCTTTGAGCGGCGGCTTCGAACCCAGCATTTCTTTGCGGTTAGTCTGTCGAGGCTCGCAGTGCTGAAATGGGACTTTGGGTACGTCGAATGATCACTCTGCATAGTTAGCACACAGCTCAGATAGTTTTCAAATCGCAACGGGGTCGGTCCCCATTGGTGAATGTAATTTCTCTAAAATGGTCAGCCCTAACGCGCCGTGCCCCGCCGTCCCCGCTGGTGGTCGCGCTAACGCCCGTTAATGGTCGTTGGTGGACCGCGCTAACGAGGTACCGGTCATTTTTCAATGCCCTCGTGTTCCTTTCACCTGTCTCAACCCCCATGGCTCATGTGCCAGACCGCTACTGAAACTCATTAGGCGATGAATCCAGGCTTTCTGCCTCATGCGTTATATACTGAGTCTATCCAATGCATCTGTGCTGCGGGAAAGGCCACAGCAAACTTTTGCCCGTGGCTGTAGAGCAACCCATCAGCCCCGACACACGAATATGATCTGGCATCCATCTGATTTACTGGCATCCTGTAATTGCTGCTGCTACTTTAAGCCATGCATGTCACTGATAGATATTGTTCTGGTAAATATTGTGAGTTATGTATTGGATGTCCGGACTTGCACGGATTTCGGAGCTACAGATCGTTGATGGCTTTGCCTCACAGTCCCCGAGACGGTGGTTGAGCGTTTCCTGGGAAGTTCTTGCCCGAGACCCCACGGGTTACCCATCGAAGACCCAACCGTATGCAGACGCATGTTCTACAGACGCGCCCCGCGAGTGTGAGTGGGAGTAAGATTAAGAGTGAAGCACCAGCACCAGCCGGCTGCGGTCAACTACCGATGCGGCGGGGAGCACCGCGGTCTCGCGCGGAGGGAGCCGCGGGGCGGTGAAAGGGCGCGCCGCGGTCTCGCGCGAGAGGAGCCGGGGGAGGTGGAGAGGGCCGTCTTCAGCGCTGCCGCATGAGTCACAGACAATGTGGGTAGTTGCACAGGGGGTCACGCCCCAGCACATGAACCGCGCTCGGCGGAGTCCAGCTATGGCCATGTAAAAACGAGAAAAAGACACTACATGCAAGGAAGTGATATGCGCTGTATTTGAATTTTGGATTAACTCTTACGGCTCTAGCTGTCTGGTCTGCAGCATTTGAATGGAGATAATCAAGCAAGTACGCAGATATAGGTGTAGACAGCGAGTTAATTGGATACGGAATAATCCAGTTCCCTTGTTTAAGGAATAATTAATGTTCACGCACACCTGATTGGTGCGGGTGCAGCTGGACTCATAAATCGAGGATTTCGGTCTATATACTCAATACGGGCACCCCCAGCAAGGTTATCGGACACTGAGATCCCTTCGCGTGGTCTGGTGCTACGAGCGTGGCGGATGCGAGGAGCACGGCAATCAATGCCCGGTCGGCGGCGGCTCCGAGCACCTCGACCCCATCCGGCCGCCTCTACGACCGGCAATCACCGGAACAAGGACACCAGTTGAGCGTAAAACGGCCAGCCAACGAGCCAACTTGCCCAAATGGCCCGAGGCGGTGCCAGCGGCGGTGCCAGGCGCCTCAGGACCGGCCGGAGGAGGCCCGCGCTCCAGTCAACCTGGTCGAGCGAGGATGGCTCGAACGAGCGCTGCATCTGAGAGCGGGCGCGAGGAGAGCCGCGAGTCTCTCCGAGACACAGCCCCAGCAGAGCATCCACCTGACGTGCTAGAGTCGTGAGTGGGCGGTCACCAGCACGACAGCGCACGTGGGCCTGTTGGCTGTCAGAATGTCATGTGGCGACCCGCTTATCCACCGTATCGCATGCGTCATGACTCGCATTAGCCCGTAATGCCAAGCAGAGGGCAAAGAGTACCCCAGCGACTCTGAAACCAGGTATATGTCAGGCATTTATTGTTATCATGTTCGCATTTATTGTTAATAGAACGCTTGTATCATTTATAAGTTATCACTGACAAGAAGACCTGCAGCCTTTCGCAAAGCTACCACGACGACGTAGACGCATATCTGGGCTTCCAGTTCCGACAGCATCCGCTGTTGTTCTGCCAGCTCCGTTTAAGAAGCCTTTGCATTGGCGGACCAACACCGAGAAAGACACTCTGAAACCGTAAAACGCCGCATTTATCGCCGAGCTGGATCTGGAGGTCACGTGGTTCATGGGTAATGGATATGCAGTTATGAGACCGTGCGCTGAACAGACGCTTCACTCAGATCGTCCTCCTCGAAGTCCGTCTCCGAACCAAATGCCTCATGCGAAGGGTGAAGCTTTCAATGCTTTCGGACATCACTAAGAGGGCCAGTCGTGCTGCTTGGAACTATATCTGTCTTCTTGTCAATGACAGATGGCATCACGACATTTTCGCTTCATCGTCTCGCCTGGCCAGTGAACTTGATACTTGCACGGGTTCGTCTTCTGTATGACGTTGGGGATGTCACAACCCTGGATGGGTATTCCGCTTCGCCCAAGGCTCACAATCACGTCAAATGTTTCATTACCCGTGATATAAACTTTAGATTACTGCTAATGAGAAATGGTCCACAGCACCGCGTCAGCTCCATACGAAAACGAGCGCAGCTTCCGTGCGCATGGTGACGGGGGAAGTTACCGCATGTCCGGGTTTCACTTCTTTCCATGGCAGTGGCATGACGAGCATGGTCAATTCGTCCCATGACTCCAAACACTGCACCTCCGTCCGGGGGCGGGGGAATGGCAAACAGATTAGCCGGGTTAGTTAGACTCCGTTCCGTCGTCCGAGACCACCGCGGGCGAAACATGCCTCGCCTCGGTGGGAGCAGGGCTTCGGGACCGACCAATCCGAAATTTAAGCCTGATTAATATGCACCTCGTGGGAGTCGGCATCCTCCGGCCTAGGAACGCCCCGCCGACCATGCGAGGGGCGAGGGGCTCTAATGACTCAGAGTCACGCTCTGCCGTGATTGAAGACGGCGCGATCTTGGAAACAACAGGCGCAGGCAGAGGGTCGCCCCAGCGGGTGCTGCGCTCCCGCGGTCATGCACCTGCACGCTTTCATTAAATACGAGGTGGCGCAGGTGGGCTGGAGGTACATTGACGCCGACGTCGTAATAGCGATATGTCGTCGGCGTCCGCTGGAGTGCCGGTTAGCAGCTCACTGCATGGTGAAGTTGTCACCTCGACGATGACGATTAGGCTATCGATAAAGTCTATACAAAGCCATCGACTCTCCGAGTTGGTGGTGGTATTTGAATATCTAGTGGAGATAGAAGTTATGTGGTGTTGTGCAAAATAAACCAGCATCAGCTATCTGATTGAAGAATGTGGTCCTTCAGTAGCACCTGTGATTTCAGTGCTTTAATTTTTGTTCTCCTTCTAAATCAACCGTCGTTCTTAAACCATGATTCATTAGCAGTCAAACACGGGTGTTAACGAAGGTTTTACTCATTTCTTCTAGTCCAGCAAACACCAGTTTGTATCACGCTTAATTACATAAATATCCCCCTAATCATCGGACGTCTATCACGTGGGCCAATGGGGCCCTTTCCACATCCATATCGCAATCAACAGACTTCAGAAATAGCGGGATAAACTTATCAGGACCAAAACCAATAATCTTCAAATCTGTAAATTCATCGCACATATTACAATGCATCGCGGAATCACAGCGCGCTGAGCAGTAGCAAGCAAGTACAACCTCAACAAGCAGCATTGCCACACCATGTCATTTGACATGCGACCAGGAGCGTGACATGGTGTCGCACCAGCCTCGGGTCACTTCAGCCTTGTCCTCGGCCTTCAATTTCCTTCGCAGGCATTCAAGCTCGGTAAAAAATCAAATCCTTTGCGAAGTCCTGACTGATTGGCGGCAAGGGACTTCAAGGCGGTAAGGCGGAAGGCGGTAAGACTTCATACTAAGTATCATCAAGAGATGAAGGGAAGCTTCACCCTCGACCTCGGGTTGTAATTGGCCGATGTTGCGAGAGGTAATCGTTGTTTTAATTGAAATAATTGTATCATTATATTACATAGCTCACGCTAACAAACCTCACTATATGCAGATATAATACAATCGGAAATAAATTTACTTGGAGGCGCGCAAAACAGGGACAAACCGATCAAACGAGACAAGTCTCGACACGACCAGAAAGCCATGCTTCGCGATCACCGAGCGTCATTTGCTTAGCGTAGTGTTTGAGTTGGAAGGCAACCTTTAAGCGGTCGTCACTAATCGCCAGCATTAACTGACATGTGTTGATAGTGCATGTTTGGATGATCGGACTCATTTGATTCACATGGCAAAACAAAACTTTTACTTGGAGGCGGGGCCGAAAGGTCTTTCAGATGTCGTGACTCAACAACCAATGCCTGGCAAGCAAAACCCACCCGGATCGATCCAAATATTGCCGTGGCACGAAGCGCTTGCGTAGGTGTGAACGTACAGGTCGACCCGCGTGCACCGCAAACGTTGATCAGAAACCCACCAGCAATGAGCACCCCCGGCGCCAACATCACCTGAACGCAAACCAATCCCCCCTGTCGCCTCTCACTGCCCCCCCGCGCTCAGAGCCCTGACCGCGCGACGGCGCCTGCACGTGCGCCGTCGGGCACCAATTGGTGGTCACACGGCACGTGATCCCGCGCGCGCACGTGGCGCACCTCCCCTCTCCACGGTCGACTCCAGACTGGCGGGCCGGCCGGCGCACGGGCGGCCGGCACCCGGCGGCCGCCGGCCAGCCGCTAAAGCTCATGCACCGCGGCCACCAGACGTTAAGCGCGACCGTAATGACATTGGGAGGCCGGCACGCCCGCCGTGAACCGATTGAAATATGACAGGCAAATAGAGGATAAATGCAGAGTGCTCAGGTGGCTTCCTGTTCGCTGTTATTTGGTTTCGGAAATTTGAGAGACTGGTCTGCATTCATCCAGTTATGTTGTGGTCGGTTGTTGTGGTCTGGATATGTCATCATAAATTTGCCTATAAATTGCGCTGTTGGTCACATTCACTGTCACGGTCGCTGCTCAAAAACTAGCGCCTCATGCCTTTGCTAAACGAAAATAGAACATGTCGTGGAGGCAGGGCAATATGGCAGCCATGGCCTGTGATACAAAGATAGATCGCTTTCATATTCTCACGCGGTAAGTCCGTCACAAGACAGTGCTATCATATCATTACATACCTGATACAAAGATAGATCGCTTCCATATTCTCACACGGGTAAATCCATCACATAACAGTACTATCATATCATTGATAATAACAATGTAAAGATGCCTTATTCGATTGACGCATGCCACGACCGCAGGAACGAAAATGTAGCCTAGCACTTTTTGGTTACCGTAACCCCCACAAAGTTCAGAACTGCCAAACCGAACGCTGCTGGAGCATCAGTTTTCTTTTCTGTTCTCACTGCTTCCAACTGTTTGGCCCTCGTGGAAATACCTGTTGGCTCCCCACAGCGCCCGGCCGCGTGCAGTCATACTGACAAATACAGAGGCGCATTCTGTGCTGTAGAAAGCGGTCCTGCACTGCCTTTGCTGTTTTCTGACAGCCGTGTTTCCACATCGGCTTTTTCCTCTGCTTCTCTTGCTTATCTTGCTCCTTTTTGTCTCTTTGTCCCGTTGCTTCCAGTTAACTTTTACTTGCTTCTCTCTGTGTGCCCACGCAAGGCACAAGTCCACAGAGTTGAGGGTGCTTTCTGGGATGCATGTTGCGCCCGCTCACCGCACTTGGACTGTCTCTGAAGATTCGAATAACAAAGGTGCGTCGCCGCATAGAAAACCGACACGGTACAAAGACGAAACATTTTCGTCGAAAGATAACTGCTGAGAGATTTTCTCCGTAGTTAACCACACCGAGTTTCTGGAAACTGCTGGCATTACGACCACGCACACTTCAGAATCAGCATAAAGCAGGAGCCTAGCATAGCGTCCCTACATCTCCGGCCATCTTAAAGGTCGCTGCATTAATGCCCGTCGGCAGAGCAATGCGCATGGTTTCTGCCGATTTGGAAGTGATTGTGTCGGCTAAGCCTACGCTACCTTAACAAGTGGCCCCTCGCGGCGTGCACCGAAGTCATCCATTATTCAAGACACCGAGGAACAGTGGCGCACCATTTGCCGGGATTTAAATCAATATTCAAACATGGGGTGCCAGAGAGCAAGTCCATCTTTGTCGCGGGACTGTCGCCACTGTCGATCTGCCAACACCGTCTCTGTCGGCGTGGCGCTCTCGTCGCTCCTAATAAAACGCACCGTATACGGGGCACCATGGCGGCGAGTTCGAAAGGCAGCCGTCGCCTCGCAATGGCCAGCTTTTCCAAACATAGCCAACGGTGTGTTTGAAGGATGGCCGCGAACGACGGCGTGACAAGCGCGTTGTGCCTGAATCCCCTTGCTCTCTGAGGTCGAGCCGGTCGTCTGAACGCTCAGCTATGGTCTTTCGATTAATCCTGGCAGCGTACAGGATGGTGGCCGCGAAGCCGCTGCTGGTGGGCACGGTTGAACCACCGGGAGGCACCGGCTTTTTGTGCCGGCGTTTTGGGATCCACGCCGAAATTGTGTGGCCTTCAGGGGGTGGGCGTAGCTAATTATGGGCATGTGGGGGAGGAGGAATAACTGGATTACGGGGGGGCCTGGCTAAAGATTGTTTAATGGTCCGCAGGCATTGCCTCTAACCATGCCCACCCGGCGCCACCTTCATAAGTGAGGACAGCGGTACACGATGAGGGAGGCATTCACCTGCAGCGCAATCCATCCATACTCCCGATGTCCACGAACAGGTGATCCCATCAACCGTCATTTCATGTCTGGCGTTAAAGCTTTTCCAAGGGCAGATGGAACTGTTCTGACGATGCTTTGAGAACAACCACTTGTCACGAATTTATGTCGGCTATGAAAAACATGACTACACCGCAGGATTGAAGAAGGCTGCACTTGTACCAGCCGGTCGCGTCCTAAAATAACAGCAGGGTCTATACAATATACACGAAATCATATGCCTGCAAGTGGCACCGAAGCACTGGTAACCAAAACCGTCCATAAACTTTTACCAAAGCAAAGAAACCTTTCGAGGACACTGCAGGAAACATGCCCTCCGTAAGTTTGCCCGAGCATACAGCATACAGCCGGTTTGCAGCTGTCTACGTGGCTTACCGCGATTCCAGGCTGTTTTTATGCATGGGAACTTGCCAGTGCACCATCCTGCTAAATTGATACCCTGCAGCTGAGCTGCCCCGACACTCTGCTGCCGGGACCGGGGGCGGCAGGTAACCGTGACGCATATTAATTCACTTATTGCACCACCCCAATTATGTACGATCCAAATTAGACGATCCCAGTTGCACCATGACGTCAGCAATGGTATTGTTCCACAGATCCTGCCGCGCTCAACCACTCAAGCTTTGTCCCCGCTGCCCGGGGGCCAGCGGCAAGCCGAGGTAGCAACCGCCGACCATCATACCCCCCCCCTTGTGACCCCGAGGCCGGGCGGCGCGTTCCCGGGTGGTGCGCAGACGCGCTTGGCAAATTTAATCACGGGGCTTTCGGGGGCGCAAAAATGGCACGGCGGCGGCTTCAAAACGCCCACCCCCCGCCGGTCGTTACGACGCGGAAGATTTATTGGGCGGGCGCGGAGGCTGGCGGATGGCGTCCCGCCCGGTGGCGGCGCCGTCATGCGCGGCGCGGCGGCGGGTGGCGCGGGGCCCCGCCACCTGGCCCACGGCCCGGCGCCGTCCGAACACTGCTGGCCGGTGGCAGACGACCGGGCAGCCGGGACAACGAGGCGCTTGTGGTGAAAACGGCGCGGTAATGGTCCGTTTTGGGGACGGTAACCCGATCGGGTTCGTCATCAGAGTTTGGCCACGCACAGGGCTGCCAGACGGAGAAGCAATCAAGAGAGGGAAAACTGTGTGACTGATGGCATCGGACGCAGCCCTTGTTGCGTCCGACCGTGCGACAGACCAGCTCCAGGCGGCGATGAGAGCAGCACGCTCGGGGGCCGACCCAAGCCGACCCAATGGCACGCTCCGAACCCCAAGGCCATCCTGAATCGAGGAGCAGAGCCACGAAGCTGGAGACGAACCTTGGCACAGTGTGCTCGTGCGCTGGCCGTTGTCCTAGTGAGCCCGATGGCAGAGCCACCTTGCCCCTAATGACACGACCAGAGCACGCTGATTGGCACTGGCACGGTGCCTGCCTCCCATCCGTAGGCAGATGTCGCAGTGAGACGTTAGGGAGTAAGGGAAAGTTTGCAACGGAAAAGAAATGTCTGACCTCAGTGACAAGTCTTAATCAGTTGTTAGCATGCCATTTGTCTTATAAAACAGATTAGGAAGAGGCTCACATTTATAACGCGTTTGTGAACTGAAATAGCATAACTGGAGCTGAGCTTCGGGGACTTTCAACGCTGACGCAATCAATCCAAAAGATCTTCTTCTTGACGTAGATATTGATTTATGGTTGCAAGATACAGACTTTGCCCTAGCGAACTATGGAGCGTCTATGACTAGACTATGGGGCGAACTATGTTAGCCCGGCGTATCACACCATAAGGGGCAGGAGCTTCTTTCTCTATGCTTCTGCGGCCCGGGCTACGCATTCATTTCACGATTAAGGTTGGGCTTATGGCAACGCACGGAATGTACATCCGAAATGCAAGTGTAAAATCCAGTCGGTGCCGGCAAACATTTGGGGATGTGACGTTTGCGAGCGAGAGTAACGACAGATTCGTTTCAGTTGACTTTGCTACCGTTCGTTGACCTTTCGAAAGGTCAGCAATCAATCCATGCCGATGTTTTAAACTGATGCTGAATATGTCATAAGATCGCCTAATGCTGTTTGTGTGGTGCGCATTAGTTTCACAACGCTTAAGGGCTCGCACACCGGCGCATTCTTTGAGTAGGGCGTTTGTCTAGCTGAATGATCATTATCCCGATTCTCTCTCGGCACTTTTTATCCGAGGCAGGCTTCTTAACCTAAAAGCAGCTATCTGCAGCTAAAGCAAAAACAGTCGACTAATTGCATCAGTAGGCTGCAAGATAATGAGTCAAGGCAAGGGAAACCTTTGTTTCAAACGTTTATCGAAACCCCTCAGTTAGCGAGGACCCAACTGAACCCATCAGCTTAACAATGCGGTGGGATCAAGCGTATAAGTTGCCTTTCGAGCTTATGACTCAGCTGATAGCAAGTTTGTTTGCAAAGCTGACGGTTGTTCTCTGAGCTTTGAAGCCGTTACATCTGTCATAAGTAACATATGTCAATAAGCCATAAAAACTTGACAACATTACGGCAAGTCGTCGATGTCATTGCTTTTCGCCACTTCTCCGCCAAGCAAGCGCCAGAATCGTGTTTTTTTCGGTACCGAGATGCACACCATCAAACAACTTTTAAAGAACTAAGAGAAGCAACTTTTTGACGTTATGTTGCGTGCTGGCACTCCACAGCTCGTAAAGGGGAGTTCAGGGCGAAAGTAATAGAAAGCGCATGTAACAGCAGTATAAACATGCAGTGGGTTCCCGTAACTTATAATAGATGCATAAACTCATGTTCCAGCTAAC